CCCTGGGGGGGGGGAAAAAAAGTAAAAGGGGCTATATATTTGCATTCTTCCAGGTATGTGCATATTTGTGAAAGAGAAAAAAAAAAACCTGATCAGAGTCACAGCACTTGTGGAAACAGATTCCAACCTTCTTTACTTGCTGTTTGTCTGATGTCTGTCTGATACCTAAAAGCTGAATAATAGTCCCTATCCATGCATAGGCCCAAATATTCTATTCCGGTTCAGCATTCAACAGTTTTTAGTACTCCTCTGTTGTCTGGAAATCACCTAAGAGTAGTTTTTGACTGTAGTCAACTGGCCATTCCAAATGCAGCAAACAGATACTCATATGGTTATTTACAAACATTCTTCAAATGTATTCTTCATATGTTCACTATTAGGGAATTTGTTTTTAAACAGGAAAATTTAATAAACAAGTTATTCAGCAACATAAACATAGATAAAAACCCCATTCCATTTAAAACAAGAGAGAAACTTAAGGTGAAAAAAAGGATGACCACTAATTAACTAAACGTTTTGAAATAGCTGAAGGGAGATGATAGCAGTCTTCAAATATCTGAAGGACTGTTACAGGAAGGAGAATGTGGATTTATTCTCTATAACTTCGGAGGGTAAGACAAGAACCAGTGGGTAGAAGTTTTACAGAGGAAGATCCAAACTTGAAATAAGGAGGCATTTTCTGACACAGAGAGCTATTTAGCAATGTGACAGCCTGCCTTCCGGAGTCATCAAGGGTCCATAACTCAAGGCTTTCAAGCAAAGGTTGGACAGCCACTTGTCTGGGATAATATGTGGATTCCTACTGTAGGCAGGGGGTTGGACTAGAAAACCTCCAAGGTCCCTTCTAAGTCCAAGATTCTATATACTCCACTCATGGATTTTAAAAAGACTGATTTTATTAAGGGAAATGGCATGGAAGATGCCATGAAAAGAAAATGTTAAAGTGAAAGGTGTTGTAGTCAGCCGAGACTTCTTGAAAAGGGAAACATTAACAAGGAAGAAAAGTAGGAGACATCTGAAGGAGCTAATGTGGTTGAACAGAAGGTTCCACGTGACATTCTCATTGCAAGCTGTTAAAGGCTGGATGGTCCTACAATAAGGTGATTCCACAAAGGGCTAGCTAACTACATTCAAAGAATTAGTATTCATGGTTTTAAACTGAGCTGCAGAGCACTAACCAGTGGAGTCCCACAAGGATCTGCCCTAGAGTGGTATTATTCAATATTGTTATTAATTATTTCAATAAAGGGACTGATAGGATGTTGATCAACTTTGCAGATGACACAAAACTGGGAAATCTGACCACCACCAGGATAACAGAATGGGACTGCAAATTAATCTGGACAGGTTGGAAAATTAGGCTGAGAGGAACAAGATGTCCTTCAAAAGGTGTGTGTGTGTGTTTGTGTGTGAATGTAAGGTATTACATTTAGGGAGGAAAGCTATAAGGCACATGCAAAATAAGAATTCATGGCTTGGAAGCACTACACTGGAGAAGGACTTGAGTGTGATCACTGACAACAAGCTAAATGTGAACCATCAGTGTGAGCCAGCTGCTATAAGGATCGGCCCAGTTCTGGGCTGTATCAGGAACAGCACTGTATCAAAGACATGTGAAGTCACTATTCCCTTCTATTCTGCAATGGTGAGACAGAAGTACTGTGCATGGTTCTACATACATTTTCAGAATGATATTCACATGTTCAAATAGGTTCAGAGGATAGAGACAAAGATGATACAGAGACAAGGACATGCCCTATGAAGACAAACTGAATAAACTCAAGATGTTGCATCACAAGAAAAGAACATCGAGGAGACATGAAATTGGATTTTAAAGTAAGTCAAAGGATATTATGGAGAAGTTAATTAGGAACTATTTTCTACTGCCACGAAAACTAGGATTGGAAATAATAGGTATACATCACAGCTACCTATTATTAGGTATACATTGCAGCTGACTAAGTATTAGAAAAAACATCCTGACAGTTAATATCAGAGGAACAGCCTACCCATGAAAGTTGTGGGTTTTCCATATTGACAGGTTTATCTGCTGGACAGGCACCTCTTGAGTACAGTGTATTTGGCTTTACTCCACATTGCAGATTGGACTCAATGATCTTTGCAGTGCCTTCCAACTCCATAATACTATGATTCTTCACTAGGTGTGGAAAAATTAGAGAGCTTTGTTATTTACCTTAGATACAAATATTTTCTTTTTTAGTATCCAAGAAACAAATTAAATAAAATTCTGATACCCCCTTCCTTTCAATCAGCAGGAGAGAAAATACTGGGGAAAGATTGCAGCATCAAGTTTCTATCCTAATTGCCTACAAGCTGTGGTACAATTCTGATAAATCTCGCAGTCAATAAACTACAGATAATTCAAAAAGCCACAATAGACTCAACCCCTCCTACAGCTGCACTATTATCCCAGCTTTTATTTAGATCTAAAAGCAGCAATTTTTGAGCTCTTGTCTGAAATTCTGCAGAGATGTGAAACTACCTCCCCCTAACATAAAAATCCTTATAGAAAACAGCAGAGTAACTTACATTCTTTTTCTCAAAACAAATGTACAAGATGAGCCCAATATGTACCCAATTCACACATCTCCATGAGTGTAGAATAATCAAACAGAATCATACACATCTCATTTCCAGATCTACATTACATCTGTTTAGCTCATTCCTTTATCCAGTTGATCAAACTAGATGGGAACATCTAGCTAAAGTTAGCTGATCTTGAAAGGCTAAGCAGGATCAGACCTGTTCCCTGCTTATATGGGGAAACACCAAATCCCAGAGCTGTTAACTGAACTGGGAAGTAAAAATAAAATAAAATCCCAGAACAAGCCACTAACAAATCACTTGCTGTACTGCTGCCAAAAAACTCCGTATGTGAATGAAGCTATAACCGTTGTTCTTGGACTGCAAATAATGCATTTTATGAAATATTAGAAACACTTCTGGCCCAGAAGATAGTATTCATACAGGTCTAACTATAAGCACTAGGGGGAAAAAAGCTAGCCACCCCTTCCTTTGGCCAGAGGACTAGACTGTCAACTTTCTAACTGAACCTCTCCGGTAGTGCTTAGCTTCCTTTGGCAAGGCCACTTAAACCTGGAATCATTATCTAGATTGCTTGTTTATACACTGACTTTCATACAAACATGCAGTTATTTTTCTTTTTCACCACTGATATGATATTCAAACAACAGTATCTAATACCATTAAATAGAGATGCAATTCACATGCTCTGAGGATTTCTGAGCGTCATCTCAATTGAGTAAAAACAAAGGAAGATTTCTCTTCCTGATGACAGCAATTAAATCGCTTTCTTACAGAGAGCCACAAACTTACAGAAACAATTGATAAGGCTGTGTTTGGAGCTTGGACCTGAACAGGAGCCTTGTCCCTACTTTTCTTCTATCCCTCTTTTCTCAACCTTCTTGGCAGAATTTGCTGCTCTTACTCAAGCTTATTTTCAAAAACAGGGGTCCAGGAAACCTGCCACAAAAAGTATTTATTGTATATTTTTGCTTCCTGTCTAATTCTGAATCCCATGGTCTTTTGAGGTTTTTCCGCTGAGCCCGTATCTCATTCCATGGTTACCTGCTCAGCAGAAGTTGTACTGAAAGAGAAATGGAAACAGAAGCAGATTTTCCTGCCATTTTGGTGCCCTCTGTAGCAAATTGATGTAAAATAGCCATTAATATAATATCCTTCCACTAATTCTGTGGAAAAACTTCCATCAGGGTTCATTGTACATAGAAGTCCTTGTGAAGTAGCCTACTTAAGAAGTTAAGTTAAAAAAAAAACCTTCAGGTTAATAGGATCTTTCAGTGCCCTCTGCTGTTACCAGTCGCTCAGCTTTCAATTTACTCTATAATAATGTCAGGTTGAAGCTTCGGCTGGCAGCTTCCCAGCCTCTTTCTCATGTGGATTGGAGCAGCAGTCTGCAAATATGTGGAAGTTTAATGCAATCTGTCTTCTTTGGTAATCACATTCCTTCTGCGCTGTGTGCTATAAAGATGTATTGGTAAATGTATTTGCTAAAAATATACTTTCCCCCTGCTTCTCCCCACCCCCTACAAGCCTGATTTACAGGAGGCAGGAGGAAAGACTTGCATATATAGGAGTCTGGCAAGGGACAAGGCAGGTTCTACAGAGAGCTGCTTGGAGAAAAGAATTGTGCAGTGGTGATTCAGGACCTGCCATATTTTAATGCAGGATTGGGGGTGGGATGGGGGTGGGGAAATCACACATTTTGCAAGCTGGAGATCTCAAAAGGTACCAAAGAAAAGCCCTTTCCCTGGTAGCTTTAACCTTGCTGGTTTGCAGACATATAAAGATCTTCCTGGTAAACAGGAAAGAAAAAATCCACGAGGACTTGCAACAACATTTGAGCTAATATATTTTGACAATTTTCCCATCTCCTTCTGACAAAGCTTCTTCTGGGAGCTGGCTGGCAGTTTGTTTCATGTTATGCTTGAATCAGACACAGGGCTTCTTCTTCACAATATTAATAGAAATGAAAAGGGCTCTCTTCAATACCCTCCCCTTTTCACAAGAAAATGCATCCCCAATGAAATCACCTCAGCCACAAAGCCTTGCCTGCAAGCACATGTCCCTCATTTGTAAATCTGAAGCCCCCTGATCCATAACAGACATAGAGGAAATGTTTGGTCAGCCGAATATCCCATACTAAATACAGTGATGCTTCTTTTGCACACAGGAAATTTCACAGAATACTTGAAATCCTTCATAAATCCTGGATTACTGTAGTGTTTATAAGGTGATATATTCTATGATCCCAGCCTATGCATTAAAAAGTATCCTGAATAAGGTCAATTTCAGGCTAATCCATTACAGCTTTTTATTCAGGTTACAAAATGGATTTTGGAGAAAATGAATGGAGATTGTCTTAGCTATTTCATGACCCAAAATGCTACACAGGGTCATGTGCTCTCCTTATATAAAAGGCATATATTTTGTAACATGTGCATTTTGGTACACATGTCTTTATTGTGTAAATGCAAATCAGAGAGCTTACTTTGTGATTCATCGATATAGGTAGCCTAAAGACATTCATATCCTTATCCATGTAGTACAAAATGCATGTATTTTCAGTTTTAGAAAGAGAAATATCTGACATGATCTTTAAAGTATCTGATTTCCCAAAAGATACCAAAATTCATAGCTTTTTAATAATAAATCTTTTGCTAGATAATGTTTGAATGCATACATGATTAACAACAGGTTCTATAATACACATTGACAGATTTTAAATCACTGAGAATTAATCCATCAGAAAAGTTTCATTTCAATTATTGATAATAATAGAATATTATTTTATAATAGCATTATAATACTATGGGAATAGGATTTAGATATACAAATCGAAGAGAAAGACCTAGGAAACAACAGAAAAAAAAAAAACCCACTGGGTGACTTTAGGAAAACTGAAATAATCTGAGTTTACCTAATCTACTGGTGATGTTTTATACCTATTAAAATATTTGGTGCATAAATCTATCACTCACCCAAATGATGGTGAAGTTGTGACAAGATGAAAACATAGTTACATATAGTAGCTGTGTCTGAAGTATAAACTCTGGCTTGATTGAAATGCTTGGAATAATTTCTAATATACTATGCAGCCCATCTTTGGCTCTATTATCTGTTTGATGATATGAATGGTCAAATTTTCTATAAATAAATGCTTTTGTCACTGAAATATGAAATCGTTCAGTATTGGGAAACTGATTCCAAGTAATCCCTTAATAATTGGTCTACTTAAAGCTAATGCAAAACAAAAACAAAACAAAAAAAGATAATGCTAGATCCCACTGAAAAAATTGGGAAACTGTACATCTGGGGGATGAAGGGCGACTGAAGAATTTAGACACTCTTGCAGAGACCAGTGACAACAAGAGAAATGTTTAATATGGGAAAATATGTAAATCCATCAAAACAGAACTTACAAAATGAAAATTTAGAACTGATTTTAGATCCTGGTCCAAATTCAAGACTGAATGTAAACCTTACCAATAAGTTTGGTAAGGCAAAGTCCCTTACTTTCCCCAACCTTTTGCCTTCTAGATGTGCTGAACTTCAATATTCTGCTAGAATAGGCGGACAAGGTAAGAATTCTAAAGATTGCATATGCTGTCTGAATGATTAATAAAATAAGTTTGTTACTATCAGTTTTAGCTTCCTTCGTACATGATTGTAGCTGGTTTTCACAGTACGTGAACTGACCCTCCATCAGTGCCTGGAGGAGCAGGAGAATCTGGAGAGAGGCAGGGTCTTCTGACTGGCCTGTCCCTTCACAAGGTACAACAGCAACCAGGAAATACCCTTGATATAAAGCAGAAATGAAAAGTATAGATACCTTTTGTGCTAGCCTAACACAACGCTGATACTCCTTGACTAGCTCTGAGCAGTTCAGCACTTGCTGCTTATTTTCATTATAGCACATCAGAATGGCTTCCTGCAGGTTTGCACATATAGGTTGTGTGTTCCTCCGCCTGTAAAGACATAAGGAAATAAAAAGGCATTTTTTGAACTGCCAGGCTTCTCATTTGTTTCATCAATGCTACCCAGTAAAGCTCTACAGTGCTTTGGATCTGAATGGAAAAGGTGCTTCTGAGCACACTCACTTAGCACTTATAAGCAATTCTTTAAACCAGCTGCATATTTTCCCAGGACTGTGGGGTTGTCCTTCACAGCTGCACCAATTGTTAGGGAAAGGCATATTTGATTTTAAAGTTTCCAACAGATGATACATGTGTGCTTTAAAGCACCTTTTTTCTCTGATCCAAAGTAATACACAGCCCTGTTATACAGAATCTGGTGCTGATAATGACAGTTGTATTGGTTCAAGTCCACCAATGCCATCCACCTTCTTTCGAACCCATAAGAAATCATTCAGCTAAGCCACACCCATAGTTGTTCCTGGTTTTAGTTTTGAGGGGACTGTGAGACCAGCAAAAGGATACAAGTTAAAGGCCTCCTAGTCTCACCCCTGTCAGAATCTTGATAAATAAAAATTGAACAGGTTTCTAACCTCTTCCCAAAAAAGCTTTATTGGAAGGTGCTTCAAGACGAAGCTTTTATCATACAATCATCACAGCTCATTAATGGAATTTTACTGGGAATCCAGACACTATCTTCCATTTGCAACTTTCTCAAGTGCTTCTTTTCACTGCCTTCTTTACACACACACACACCTATTAAAAGAGAAAGAAATGGAATAGCTGCACAATGTTTTTTCAGTGGCAGTACTAAGCTTCCAGCAAAATACTTCTAGGATATTCTTTCATTTTCAGTTTTAATCCACATCAGAAAATGAAGAGCAAGACATTGGCATTAATCAGTGGCAGCCTACTATATATTCTAGAAATCAATGTTAATAACAATACAATTACAACAGATTTCTCCACGCTTCTCACAAATTCATATTCATTGGAAAACCCTAGATACAGATTACAAAAACTTAAGGGAGCTCAGTGTTTCAGAGAGAGAAAATTCCATGAAATATTTCCCAAAATTTTAGAACAGGAAAGAACTTAATAGGGGACTTCAGAAACTCATAAGTTTGGCATTTTGTTCTGTCACTGTAATTTTAATATCTTTGCAATCATCAGAATGAGCACCTTGGAAACAATATCAAACAGAACTAAGTTAGGAAATACCACAATCGCTCTCGATTCATTGGGAAACTTAAGACTCCTAAAATTAGGTTTTAACTCTGAAAGTTTAATTTCAAGAGAGGCTGAAAATGCGGTATTTTCTAATGAGGTCATTGATACTTCTCCTATTCTATAACTAACTTGACTGTACAGTAGTCTTATTCTTTTAAAGATACAAGTTTTTATTCCTTGCTTGAGTTTCATCTGCATTTTAGCCAACTGGAGGAAAAAATGTTTTCAATCTTTCCTCTTATATCTTCTTTACTCAAAGTATCAGTGAAAATAACTGGTGTTCTGTTGGATTCTAATTTTACATTTAGAAGGTCAGATGACTGTAGAAGCCAGAATGGCTATTTAATCAACTTTGCCGGATTAGCCAATTTTGAAGTTTTGTGGAAAGTAGAGATTCTGCTTTCAATTCAATGTCTTTAAGCCTGACTACTACAATATACAGTAGGGGCATACACTATTGGAAAGTTATAAATTTATTTCAGCCTACTATATCTCACAGAATTGTGATGAGGATAATGTTTGTGTGTATGTGTGTAAGTGTACAGAATTATTTTGAGTTATTTCAAAGAAAAATAAATAGCAACATAAGGTAATGACAATTTCCTTCTTTCAGCTTTTTTTATTGTTCTGGCTGATCTCTCCTTTAGTGATCCCTTATGTACATGAAGAACTTTCTCATTCAGTCCAGTTTTGATTTCTTCATCACAATTGGTATCATAATGCCATACACAAAAAGTGGAAATACTGGTCACCTATGTTTCTGCTTTTGCCACTTTTCAAATTGCTTAATTATCCAAGTACTTCAGTCCTCAGCTTAAGTACTGTCCTCTCCTTCAATTTTTGCCTCATCTGCTACATCAGTAACTGCTATATTTTGGCATAGAAAAAGTAAGAGGAATGAGCCAGTGTGGTATATTGGACAAAACAGACTTGAACCTGGGTTCAAAGCCTTTCTCAGCAATAAATGTCACTGAATTACCCCACATTGCTTTTTCTCATACGATTTTTGTAAGATAATCTATACATGCCACATGATTTCTTTGGCAAAGAAATTGGAGGCAAACATTAGAAAGTATAAAGAGTGCTTCCAGTTGAGGCATTTATTTTGCAATCATTCTGCCTCATTTATGGAAATGTAGTCCTGATGACATCCTCTCCCATTTGCAACTTTCTGTGTTTTCCCATGGCTATTTCTTTTTCTTTCCACAGAAAATCCATTAAGAGAAAAAGTTGGAACAGTTGTACAAGAGCTCTCCATTTGAAAGCACCCAAGGAACAGGTTGTGTATTAACACTATTAAAGTTCTTCTTCCTTAGCTGTCCCTTGAGATCAGCACTGAGCAAAAAATGACACACCAAGAGTTACCAAATCTGAAATCCCCTCTTCCTTTCCATGCAGTCACTTTATTTAATAAATGGAATCTCATCAACTTATCCTTCTTCTATTATCATTGCTGATATCAATTTGATAATATTGGCTTGGCTTGGCATCATGCTATTATATGTCCTCCTGATATTTAATTTAACAGAAACGCTTGCAGTGGGGTGAATATGTGAAGCAAGCTTTTTATTAGTGGCAGCAGCAAGGACGGTGGGAGTAAATTAGACATTCATCATAGGGCCAATGTAGGAGCTCAGGAGAGCTTTTCTCTTTAACTCTCTCCTGACTGCTTGATAGTGGCAGGTAATGACTGCTGCATTCATTTGTCTCAGCAGATTTGTCTTATAGTACAGATTTAAAATGCATGGAGGAAGCATCAAATGTCTTAGAAGTTATAGTAAGAATCTTCACAATTAATTCCCAATTATTATATTTTTGAAATGCTAGTCAGAGGATTCCATCAATCAAAAATACTGTTTTAGTCCAATATAGAAAAAGTCAACTTGAATGTTCACTTTCTGGTTGAAGCTAAGTTATCACATCCATGGTTTAGCATCGCAAAGAGCACATAAGACAAAGTCAACAGTTTAGCAATTGTGTGCCTAGCAGGCTGCTGCTGTAGAAAAAAACATCCTGGCTTGGGATGTAGGAGATAAGGGAAAAAAATAAGTGCCCACTCCATTGGCAATAACAGCCCAAGGAGTTCAGTACAGAAGGAAAGCTAGACTAAAAGAACACTTGTCAAGAGTTTAGATTTCTCTCAGGTAAGAGAAATCCTCATTAATTGTGCTTGAAGAACACAGTAATGGAAGGGAATTTGGTAAATGAGCATAAAACCATGACTTGTAATAATTACTGGTAGGATTACTCACCACTGGGATTCTCAATGTGCTCTACCCTTAACAGACTAGGTGGTAGGCAGTGATCCTGTTGTATATAGGCTTCCCATACCACCAAAACATACTCTCTTTGTTCATCCTTTACTAACTATGTATCTAAAAATGAAGATGCAGCTTGAACAACCTAACTGTAACAATACTTGGCAAGCAACAACCATTCACTATTAGGAGACTTTTATCTACAATATGCTCAAGTGCTCTGGGCTTTAAATGCTTCAGGAGACTTAGCAGAGGATATGCTAAAACCTAGGCATAACTATGTCAGTTAACTGGATTCCACAGAAGAACATTTTTCACATAATAGCAGTTTGATGTAGAAAAGGTGAATATGGATGAGTAATACACAGCAAATGCATACAACTGAAGTTAACCATGTCATGAAAGCTGTGTTTACTGATGGAATCTTGCCATGTGCACATGTTGGAAACTAGTCATATGCATTCATCACATATTACACTGCACAGATGGCAAGCAGATTGTTTTCAAAAACATGTCAAAAGTGATATCTGTGTGATAAGTGACCCTATGTGGTTAATGAAGAGGGACTATCCTTTATTATGCTATGAAAGTGTTCCAGGGCTGAACTCTAGGAGTAAAACAGGATTTGAGAGCATCTCTGTGGAAACTTTAGCTTGAATTAACCCCTACAAATAAGGCTTCCTAAAACTGTAGTTTGATGCAGTGAAACAATCCCAGTTCTCTGCATGAACTGCAAATTACAACAAATTTCAAAACAATGTCTGTCTTATGGCACAGATACTATGACACTCCATGCTGGAGATAACTCAGTAAAGTCCATTTAAAAATCTGTCCCTTTGTATTCTCAAAATACAACACCACCTGGACTTAAATGCAAATAGGAAAGTAAAATTTAGCAGCTATTAATGGAGGAATTCTCAGTGAGAAACCACTGGATTACAGTTCTTCTTGGTACAAGTATACCATATATTGCAGCATACCCTGTCATAATACTTGAGAAGGCTATGGAGAAATCAAATCTTTCATCTCTCATCACACAGAGTTCAATATGCAAAAACCACTATTTTCTTTAAGAAGTCTACCAATTGGATAAAAAGATACCATAATGGCTGATATAAAGGTAACATTAAATGCTGCAAGGAGGTTAATTCAAAAAATAAAATGCTGGCTGTAGAAGTTCCTGTAGAGTAATTCAAATCTGGCAATATTCCTAAATTTTGCACTTAAATTTTTTCTCCTAAGAGGAAAAGAAAATTGATATTAGTACTTATCCTGTGCTAAAGTTAATAGGACAAGTTCCTTTGTTTAGGAACACTATGTAACATTAATGCCAAAGACACTAACTCTTAAGATTGACTAGCAAAACAATCAAAGCCCACATGGGCTCTAACTTGGTTGTTAAGTCAAACAAGAATGAGTTAGAATTTTGTTGTTGCAAAAAACAGTTTGAATCACAAATAGAAAATGACTAAAATTCCATATGACAAAGAAAAGGATAAACATTATAGCAAGGAAAGAGACAAATAGTTGCAGCACCTTGAATTTTACAACAGTCTTTATGGTTAA